AGGCACATGCCGGACCTATTGCCCAGGTTTTTAGTGGAAGGGGAAACCGGAGCGCGCAGAGGAAACCTATACATACATGGGGAGAACTGCACACAGAAAGACCTGTAGGTGAAGCACAAGCGCTACCCACTGCGCCACAGTGCACCCAGTTCATCCAGAACGATCATGGGCCTCTTGGCTGCATCTCTGATCAGTCTTCTCCTTGTTTGAGATGAAAGTTTGGAGGGACGGCCGGGTCTTGGTAGATTTGCAGTGGTCTGATACTCCTTCCATTTCAATATAATTGCTTGCACAGTGCTCCTTAAGATGTTTAAAGCTTGGGAGATCTTTTTGTATCCAAATCCGGCTTTGAACTTCTCCACAACAGTATCTCGGACCTGCCTGGTGTGTTCCTTTGTCTTCATGGTTCTCTCTGCGCTTTAAACAGAACCCTGAGACTATCAAAGAGCAGGTGCATTTATACGGAGACTTGATTACACACAGGTGCATTCTATTTATCATCATCAGTCATTTAGGACAACATTGGATCATTCAAAGATCCTCACTGAACTTCTGGAGTGAGTTTGCTGCACTGAAAGTAAAGGGGCCGAATAATATTGCACGCCCCACTATTCAGTTTTTTATTTGTTAAAAAAGTTTAAATTATCCAATAAATTTTGTTCTACTTCACGATTGTGTCCCACTTGTTGTTGATTCATGACAAAAAATTAAAATTTTATATCTTTCGCAAGGCACTGTATATATAATTATTTTTGCCATATATTTGTGCTCTTGGAGTTTGAATTTTGCTTCTCGTCTGTCCTGTTGATTGTTTGCTCCGCCCTGCCGTGTTTCACTGTGTGTATGTATTCCCTGTTCTTTTCTCCACTTGGTCTGTCAATTGTCTATCCCACACTCAATCCTGAATGTAGAACTAAAGGACCATTTCTGGCGTGGCAATCAAAGCTGCCCCCCAATACTCTGCCCCTGTCTGATCCTCCTGCAGGTGATGGGACCATGGGAAGATAGCTGCTCCGTCAACAAAGACACATGCTCTACCAACTGAGCCGCTGTCGCCCCCAGTTCATTTCAATTCCTTACATTACACTTATTATTTTGAGCCCTGCATTTTGGGTTCCTTTTTTCATATCATCTCGTGACAAGATATATGCAAACCTCTAATATAGCGCTAAACTTCACTTTTCTAAATTCAGCTTACACCGATCTCTCCAAATCCAAACTTGTTGCTACAAATGTAAATCACACACAAACCTCTTCCCATCTCCCTCTTTGCTTAACGCTTGTTGTGCACTAAACTCTAATAATAATGGTGAAGGCGCGGGTTAATCAAGCAGCTAAATGGAGTGAAAAACAAAGTAACAAACTGCGTCTTCACTCCCCTCTCCGGAGCTCGTCTCTGGCTGCTCTCGTGTAACAATTTCATTATGCGACGCTTTTTTGTTTAGCGTTGAAACTCTGCGTCGGCAAAGTAATTAATTTAGTTCACCTCATCAAATCCCCGCAGAGCAGCTAACAGCGGAGCCATCGCAATTATGAAGCAATCAGAACTTAATCAGATTTTAATTGGATGTTAATTCATTTGGTGCGGATGGGTGCAACCTAATATCGTCGTAAAACAGGGCGATGTATACGGCCGGTGTAAAATGGTAGGGAATTGTGTTTTATAGAGAAATGGGATGGTGGAATACAGCCATTTGTTGATTTGTCACAGAAAATTTGGATAAATATTTGTGAAAAACATTGGAAATAAAAGCAGTGAGATGAGAAAATAATTAAACTAGTTATTTCAAGGTTGATTTCGGACAATAAAAGTTTGTTTTGATCCGCTTTTGTTAACGCAAACCTGAAACTCTGGATAAACTAGTTGCTCGAAAGTAAGTGTACTTTTATGTAATGGTGAAACATTACACTGAAATCACAACACAAACACTGAAATTTCCCCACTGTGGGACAAATAAAAGATCTCTTAATCTTATTGTGAGAGAAGTTTTAAAGAATTGTTTTCCATTTCTGCTGCCCGTTCTTTCGCTGTCCAATCAAATGCAACTTTAATCACAGCTCACGAAATGGACTGTTTGGGGCAGAGATCCAGAGCATTATGTGCAAAATAATGATCTTAAAATCCTGTGGTTCTGACGAGTCAGGCTGAGCCAAAGTATGTGTCAAGATTGTGGAGCTGCAAACCAGTTCACAAAGTTTATTTGTCATTGTCAGGCAAATTAAAATGTATCTAGGGCTGGGGCTTTATTTGGACCTGAGATATTTAACTGTATTTGAAGACATTTCTATAAGTAACATTAGCTCAATTAAAAACAAAAAAATATCACAAGATAAAACAAAGAAGGGCCCAAAAGCAGAAATGCAACATCATGTAGATTTATGTCACAAGGAAAATAAATTCAAAAGTAAAAACTGAAATCAGCAACATGGGGGACAAGAGAACAGGAGCAGGGTCTAAAAACACATAGAGAGAGAGAGATGTGTGAGACACAGGTATAACACATCAGGGCCCCACCCTGATGTGTTATACCTGTCAACAGGACTGAAAGGAAGTAACACTCAAACAACAAGAAAACTATCTATAGACATTTTCAAAAATAAAAAAAACAGGAAGAAAATCCATATCATGACAAAAATCATAAAATGAAGCTGAAGCCCAAATTCAGACTGAAAGACCGGCCACAGCTCTCACCCGTCTAGGGCCAGCCAATCACACAGCTTTGCCAGCCTTAAGCCTCTGCCAATCACTGACAGCGAAGCGAGCAGTTTAAAAGCATCTACTTCCTGATAATCAGCGCTTCCTGAGGCTCTAAACACCGCCTCCCCAGCACCTCCTCAAGGTCCTGGATCCTGTTCTGGTTCCTGATCTAGCTCCTGCTCCGGCCCCTGCTCTGCCTACGCCTCATTCACACCATGCTTCTACAGTAGCCACCACCAGGGATTGACCCCGGCGGGTCTGAGATCATCTACAGCAGCAGACGATCTCCCCTCTGTAAGTGTCACTTCCGGGGTCAATGTGCCAAACAAATACTTTTCATGTATTTCATCTTTTTCATGCATGAATGTTTCTGTCTTGGTCTTTTCCGATTGAATAATGTGTGCCTAGATATGCTGTAAAATAAATTCATCAAATTAATAGAATCAAACTGAAATGAATAAGACAATACTGAATTTAAACTAAAACTACTTTATGCATGCATGTCATTGTAGCTGTAGCAAATTTAAATTTCCAGTAATTTCTTATCAAGTCCTCATACCTGCCATAACCATGTGTCACCAAAGCTCCTCATGTTGTCCAATATTGACAATCGGCACATTCTTTCCACACATTTCCCAATCCAGACTCTGGGTTCTCTCTCTCACACACACAAACGCACACACGAACGCACACACAATGCTTCAGGTAAATCTGAACATGTTTTCTTTTACACACCTTGTCCAAACACACACTCGCAAACCTGGGCTTCCAAGTATTTCCCAAGTGCTGAGAACATGGCCTGAGGGAAGGTTTTTCAGGATCCTCCAACACGCAACCGTCACACAGACAAATATTATTCTTTATTTTGAGTGTTGAAGTGAGAAGAGGCGGTGGGATTTCTGTGTGAAGATGAGAGCAGATTTGAGGGTTTAAGACAACGCTGTGACAATGCACCAGTGGTTTCTCAATGCAAGAAGTTAATTTGGAGGCGAGTGTGGCACAGGTGTAGAGCTGTTGCCGTATGGCCTTGTGCCTGCATGTTTTTCAAAGTAGTGGAGGTCTCTTTTACACCACTTAGGGTATAAGAAATCCATTTACCAAGTGAAATAAAACAAATTACTAAGTCATTTTTGAAAACAATTATGTGTTTTTTTATATTATAGGGCCCTTAACTGTTGAAGTTGTTTTTTCCAGATGATCATTCCCCATATAGGCCAGTAATATTTTTTTAGGGAACTGAAATGTATTTTACAATCAAATGTTATCTACGATTGAGAGCATTTGTACAGGACCGGCACACTTTTTTTTCTCGGTTTAAGGAAATTATCTCATTAAGCACAGGTATATTCTGTTGGATTAAAAATATGTCTTATTTCCCTCCGAAAGATTGTCTGTAACAGAGCAGCCATCCTCCTGTGGACTCACCACCTGCAGGAGGATCAGAAATGGAATAAGGGGAAGAAAATGGATGGATGGATGTCATATTTGTCTATTTTTGTTTTATATCCTTCAATTGATGAGTTGTCATGGTTTTCTTGTTAAGCTTCTGTACAACTGCTGTACATTATTTACCAGATGAAGTAGCCTACTCCTTCCAATACTTACTATAAGCTATGATAATTTATCATACCTTTTTTTCCACAGTATATGGCTAATATTATAGATCCATGGCTATTATGCCAAAAAGGATTAAATAATGTGCTATTTCTTTTTCCTGGTTTATTTCCCGTATGAACTTCATCAAACATAGTAATTTCTAAAACTTTAACCTTAGTCTTGTAAAAAAAACTTCAAAGTTGTAAATACTTAAAAACGTTAATATTAATATATTATCCAATCTTAGCATTACACAGATATTCACAAGGAAATATACAAGCATTATATTATATTGTCATTATACTTTCTTTCTATCCATAACATCGTAACAGCGGGTAGTACTTTACTTCCCGACTGTCCGTGAACGCATCTCGAAACTTTTCCTCATCTCAAACTTATTGTTTTGTCTTTGCAGATGTTATTGTGACACGCTGTGTTTTTTTTAATGCAGGATGTAGATGACTCACAATGATAAAGTCGTTAAATACGCGCTTACAAAATGCGCCATTTCCGTTATTGCATTACTTAACGCATAAAACTTCTCTAATTTGCAGAACTTCTGACTTTTCACAGCGGGAATGAGCAACACACCGCGCTTCCAAAATAACACCTTCTGAAGTCAGCAAAACGCTTTAAACACATTCTTACTACCTTTACTAAAACTACTATATCCATTTTAAGCATTAGCCCAGATCTGTGGAGAAGAATGAAGCAGGAGTCCGGTGTATCTGCGTCCGCGGAGAGGTCCACACACTGCGGGGACATGCGGTGGATCGTGGCCGCTCTAGGTGCACTGTTTGTCGGCTTGATGCTCTCGGGGTGCTCCGCTGAAGAGGCGTCCTGTCACGGAGCCTACGACCTGTACTTTGTGCTGGACCGGTGAGTAATGGAACATATTACACATCACTGACTTAGGACACAGCGGGTTAGTCACAAACGTATCTTTCATTACTTTTTTACAATAATGATAATAATAATAATAATGATACATTGTTTGTCATGATGTCTGATGAAAGTCACGTGAATATAATGTTTATGCTCTCATGCTTGTTTTACATACATAACAATCGTTTGTCCCAACAGAAAGAGTCTTAAAGATGTAAAACATTGTGAAGAAATCTAATGTTTTTTTCAAGAGCTTTGTTAGTGCGTACTTTGTGTTGCTTGAATGAAAAGTGCTTTATAAATACCTTTTGATTGACTGATATTTGACGCTATGGTCTGAGATCTTATTGGCTGAGCAGGAGTGGTCTTCTTTTTTACTACTGTCTGGAAAAGCTGATCTTAAGGTGTGACAGGCCAAAATTATATGCTCTTAAAAACATATGAACAATGAAGACTGCTGGCCTCACATGCCATTGTGTAGCAATAATGTGCAATAATTCCTTAGTGTCAGAATGTGTACTATATGGTACCTCATGAGCCCGCTGTCGCCTATATCTCACTCATCAATGCAAGACAGCATTTGGATTATGTCTTTTTCTAAATACAAAATATCCCGTTTTACTTTGGAGATGTCCTCTAAAACATAGTCAAACTTTCATAAAGGAAATTACTTGATCACACCCAACACCCATCACAATGAAAGTTACAGAGCATTTTAGTTTTCATCCTTTAACTTCAGTCAAATCTGCTTCCATCAAGAAAATACTCTAGTAATCATAATTCTTACTCATCAGGACCAAATGGAGTCTACTTTTGGTTTCAAACTAAGCTGAAGCCAAGACTAAAAATGGGCAACTCTCTGTGAACCGTGCATGGTTTCTTTCTTGTTGACAGTAATCCATAATTTTGTGTTTCTATTAAGTGCCTTTGCTTGGTTCTGTATCACACCTGTTAGTCTTGGCTTAGACCTGGTTTAGACCTGTTTCCTTATTTATTCCTAAATATCTGCTTCCTTGAAGGATAAGTAACGAAATATGATAATATGTGTGCCCTAAAGGGACGTGCTGTGAACTTTGTATGACACACAACTCTTGCGACACAGCCTCGCCCCATAAACTGTACCTCCAGCGCAACACAGCGACATGATTTGTTTAGTTTGTATAATTTCAATCAACAAATCAATCCTCTATAATGTATGCAAACTATGCATGGAGACAGAGCAATACTTTCTCCCAGACAGACGGTGGTGTGAGAATAATTCCACAAAATGATGTCAAACGTGCTGGCCCATTTACAGCTGACCCGCCCTCTGCACAAACACACTCAGTCAATACAAGACCTCACTTTCTGAAGCATATTTTTAAAATCAGTATATACAATTGTTGCAAATATTAATCAGCGTTATAAACAGTCAATGCGCTGCCAGCTTAAGGGAACCTAATATTTTAGCTTTAAACAATGTTGTTATTGATTTCTAAAGTCTATCCATCCATTTTCTTCCCCTTAATCCATTTCTTGGTCTGGGGGTGACAATCAGAGCTGCACCCAGTACACATAGCACCAGCCCCTCACCAGGGCTGGACTGGGACAAAAAAACGGCCCGGGCATTTTTGCCTTCTTGGCGGCCCAGGCATGTTTTTTCACGTTTTTTACAGTTTGTTTATACCAGGCGTCTGCAACTCAAAAGGTTCAAAGAGCCAAAAACAATATCTGTCTGGAGCCGCAAAAAAAAACAGCCTTGTATAAGGCTTATATGAAGGTAACACAGGCTGCAGCTGTATTAGCTACATTAGCTTAATATCTAAATGACAAAGTAAAGGCTACAAATGCATAATAAGCATTCATGATTATCAAATGTGTATTTTCACTGCAGCGTCTCCTGGAGAGAATGACGCACCACGTGACGACTCTGGTTTAACTTTAACTTCCATTTTTTGTCTTCTTGCAATTGTAGAAATACAGTAAATAAATCTGCTTTTTGGCTCAGAGTTCACATCACAGGCTGAAGTTTGCTGGAGCTGAATGTCCTTAATGGCCTTTTCTTTCACCGTTTTTGCGAAGGTATTTGAAGTTTGAAAATAGGTGCTCTGAATTTGCGATGAATGAATCCTTCACGTGATCACCGTGAACGGTGTTTAGCGCATCATTGTTCCTCGTGTTGTAACAAAACTTCTCAATACAAACATGAAGCAGTCCTTCCTCATTGACTGAAAGCAAATGTTCATACTTATTCTTAGTACAGACTTATTATCGACTCTTTCTCTTTTTAGCTTTGGGATCCATGGCACATGCCGGTTTGTTTACAGCAGCAGCCGCCTAACGCGGGCCGCTTCACAGGATATGACGCACTACGTTGACAGAAATGTCGAAATTGAATATTACTTACGCACATTTTCAGCTTTTTGGAACACACGCATGATCTTTTTATTCGGTCCAAACTACTGAAATTCCACGAACTTGTAAAATACTACACAGTAATCCTACTATTTAAAGCATTTAATAATATACTTCCTAAAAATGTACAAAAATTCTTCTCTCTTAAAGAGAATGCATATAATTTGAGAGGAAATGGAAACTTTATTCTACCTAAAGCTCAGACGACTCGTAAAAGTTTTTGTGTAACTGTATGTGGGGTAAAATTGTGGAATTCTCTGGATTTACAGCAGAAGCTATGCCTAAATATTCACAAATTTAAACTCTTATACAAAAGTGCAGTGTGGTTAGAATACAGAGTTAGTGGAATACTTAGATAGTTTGTTGTATTGCAGTTGTCCGTATCAGTTCTTGTGTTGTTTTTGATGTTTCTTACTTTCGTTGTTTCTGCTCCATCGCTGCTGCTCTTGTGTTACTGTTGTTTGTGCTTCTGTCCTTACCATCGCTGGTATGTACATTTGTGTTACTGTTGTTCGTGCCTCTGTCCTTACCATCGCTGGTATGTACATTTGTGTCACTATTGTTTGTGCCTCTGTCCTTACCATCGCTGGTATGTACATTTGTGTCACTATTGTTTGTGTCTCTGTCCTTACCATCGCTGGTATGTACATTTGCTGAAAATGTCTAAACTGTTGTATCATTTGCATCCTGTCTATTCTATAAGCTATGTTTGATCGTAAACGAAAATGATATTGCACTTAGTTTTGTGTTCTGGAGTGTAGTAGTATTTTACAAAAGTGTTTAAGTTATGAAAATTTGATTTTTGTTGCATTGAGAATTTTTTATTTTTATTTTTTATTTTTTTCTCTTTTTTCTCCTTTCCTTTTATGGACTTTGAAGTGGAAGTTAAGTTAAATAATGTAACGTAGCTATGGACAATAGGGGTGGGATTCAATAAGTTTTCTTCTTCCCACTCCTTTTCGAGCCAAATCCTTTCTATTTCCTGTACTCAAGTACAGCTGTTCTACATTTGTTATTTTATTTTTTTATGTGATCTGCTCGAAATGAATAAATAACTAACTAACTAACTAACTAACATTTTTGCAGCATTTAAAAACGTTAAGAATGTTTTTCATCCTACAGAAACCACATTCAAACTAGAAATAAAATATAGCCCTCCCACTCCATTTCAGACATTTTTTAAAAGACTCCAGCCGCAGGTTGCCGACCCCTGGTTTATACAGCATGGAAGAAAATACTAGAGGATCAGGATATGTGCAGTTTCAACAATTGAAATACAGTGCAATAGTCTACATTACAAGAGAGTAATAAACATGTCTCAGAGTGAAGGAGGTGGACACAGACAACACTATTGTTTGTTACAGGGATGAGAATTGGTCAAAAAAGTCTGAAATGCATAATGCCAGCCATTGTCTGTCACTAAATCTGTTTGATTTGTTCACAACATTTTACTACATGGGCTCAAATATTAACTTTTAATGCAATGGAAAATTTAGGTACCTGAGCTTTAATTTAGTCGCTCTTCGAGAGGAGAGGGGAGACGCGGACTGTTTCCTGCAGCGGTGTATTTATTGGGTGCACAGATTACACAAAGAAATGCATGGTCCTGTGCGCGTTTATGGTCTTGGGTATATGGTCACGTTGAGGCTACGCGCTCACCGTGTTGTGTTGTGAGCGGATCTCGTGGTTCCCGCGTCCAGCTCAGAGCCGCTGGATGCTTGAACCGCTCATTACAAAGCGGCCGCAGCTGTCTCGGAACACTGCGGCCGCTGAGGTGGCGGAATCCCGTTCGAGTACATACAGCAGTTGGCCGCGGACATGCGCGCCCCCCCTCAAACATTTTTCACAAACATGTTTTTTGTATGAAGCAGACAGACCGGCCCAAATATGGGCATCGGCCCTTCGGGCATTGCCCGGTATGCCCGATGGCCAGTCCAGCCCTGCCCCTCACTGATCCTCATGCAGGTGGTGAGTCCACAGGAGCCTTGATCTTTCAGTGGGGGCTTCAGGCAAAGTGGGGTTCCGTTTCTTGCCCAAGGACACAACGACAGTAGACATCAGTGGGAGTTAATGGAGAAGGTCTTGTGGTGGGCAAACCCACAACCTTCAGGCTCAAAGGCCAATGCTCTACCAAGCCCCTGTTGCCCCATATCCGTTGCCCAACATATTATATATTTGGGCAACCAAAAATATAATTAAAGTGATAGTCTGTAACTCTAAATGAATTAAATTTTTTAGGAAATGTGTTAAATTGACTTCCTGGCCTTAAATGTTGATATAAAATATGTCATTTTATTAATTATAATATTACGGGCAAGTCCCGCCTTCCCTGCTCTTAGCTATAGCTCAGAATCCACGATGCCGTCGAGGTTAACCAATCGAGTCATGCCAAGGGCTGTCAATCATCGGCGCTGATGCTCGCAGCTGCGCACATGCTCAGTTGTTTGTTTTTGCGGAGCCTCTGAATCAAGCCTCTATTAGGCTCTGGAACTACATGAAAACTGAACAAAGAATTCTGAACATCTGCGCTGAGTTACTTATACTGAACCTATATCCATAATCAGATCCTCTGCAGATGTGTCCTATAATGTGCAATCAACGTTAATAGCTACTTCCAGGTATACCGCGATCGCTTTTTCTGCATTAAAACATTATTTTTGTCATGAAAACGTTAAGAAATAATTTTGAAAGCCTCCGTGCATGTGTATTAATAGTGTATATGTATAATGTATTTTCCGATTAACATTTAAATGTGTTACGGGAACGAAGGTGTAGACCAATCAGAAAGGAAGGGGGAGGGAGCTTGCGTCGTTTTTTTCAAATCAAGTACCTCTCTGTCTCTCTTTCTGACAAACTCCAGACAATCACTTTAAGTCTAATCTATAACAAACAGCTTATTTTTTTGTTATTTGTCTCTTGCGTTTCAATGCAAATTGCAATTTTAGGTGACAGACAAAAATATGGAAGTGATATTGTTATCGCAAAACTAAACACTCATATCGAATATCGCACTAATTACCAATTATGTGCATCCCTACTTCAGAGTGTTAGCAGCATATTTACACTCTGGATCTGGAGTTTTTCTTCTCAGAATTTACGGACAAAAGAATGTGGAGTTTCCCCTGTACGTGTGTGCGTGTGTGTGTGTCTGTGTGTGTGTGAGAATGTATGTGTGTGTGTGTGTGTGTGTGTGTGTGTGTGTAATGATCAACTTCCTGGTTGGAGAGATATAGACCGCAGATTGCTTATGCCACCACTTTTGTATCTGGGAACACTTTGCATTGTCTTTGTATCTGTTATCCATACTGACCTTTGCCATTATATCAAGGAAGAACAGAGAAACCAATCAAAAATATAGTGAATCATTATGTAGTGGTAATGCGCTGCTTCTATTGACACATCTGCCCAGGAGCCTGTTGTGTGGCTGCCTACTAAAGGTATAAATTGCTCATGTAAGATAGGGAAAAGATTTGTGCTACAAAGCTAACAAAAACAAGATATTTACGTGACATTTTGGGCAAAATGTGTCTCTTATGAAGTTTTATGGTTGAAACACAGTTATTTGTTTTTGGCAGTTTTGTTGGTTGTTGTGCGACCCTTTCTTTCTATTGATTTGGTTTCCTTTTTTTTTTTTTTACATCAAAGGAGCACTCCAGCCCTGTGCACTGTTTTAAAAAAAAGAATTGATATGCAGTACTGACCAAAAGTTTGGACACACCTTCTCATTCAAAGAGTTTTTTTTGTATGATTATGAAAATTGTAGATCCACACTGAAGGCATCAAAACTATGAATTCACTCATGTGGACTTATGTACGTACTAAAAAAAAAAGTATGAAACAACTGAAAATATGTCTTCAAAGTAGGACCTTTTGCTCTGATTACTGCTTCACACACTCTTGGCATTCTCTTGATGAGCTTCAAGATGACCGTGGGCGGCACGGTGGCTGAGTGGATAGCACTCTCGCCTCTCAGCAAGAAGGTCCTGGGTTCGAATCCCGGTCGGACCAGGGCCTTTCTGAGTGGAGTTTGCATGTTCTCCCCGTGTCTGCGTAGGTTTCCTCCGGGTACTCCGGTTTCCCCTACCACTAAAAATATGTCCAATAGTTCTGGCATGCGCCTCCTGTACTGGCGACCCCGCTCCCATCTCTGTGTGGAGTGAGAGACAAATGCCCAAAATTAACAATTGTAAACCGCTTTGAGACTCAGATCTGCAGTGAAAAGGCGGTATATAAATAAAAACTTACTACTATTACTATTACCTGAAATGGTCTAAGTTCCCACAGATGCTTAGCACTTGTTGGCCCTTTTGCCTTCACTCTGTGGTCCAGCCCCAAAACCATCTGGATTGGGTTCAGGTCCAAAACCATCTCGATTGGGTTCAGGTCCGGTGACTTTGGAGGCCGGGTCATCTGGCCCAGCACCCCACCACTCTCCTTATTGGTCAAATGCCCTTACACAACCTGGGTGTGAATCTACAGTCAATAGACATGAAAAGAAAGGAACCTCAATGAATGAGAAAGTGTGTCCAAACTTTTGGTCTGTACTGTAGGTATTTTGCTATCTCCTATTAATTGATATAAAGATGTATCTTAGAACTAAACCATGTCTAATCTAAGTCTATCTTACTAAAAATATCCACATAACAATTACAATCCATATAAATAGAATGAATCTCTGCTATCTGCCCTTTGTCGTCGAATTTAAAAAGATGCATCCTGCGTGACCAAGAGATGACTCTTCTTTCATTGGCTACAGTCTATAATTTATACCATTAAGAATTCAAAGTAATTTTCAAGAGTCGTGTGTTGGTAAATATTGAATCTAAAGAAGGTGTAAGGTTATGGAAATGTATATTCATGCATTTTCTAGGAACAGGATAATAATTAAGCAGTGCTAATTATCCCCAGATGTTGTGAGATGAGGAGTTGTGTGCAGTCTGTGCGTCGCCGTGTCCTTGACTTTGGGCCCGCGGCGGAGGACACTGTCATGAAGATTAACTCTGTGTGGTCAGGACAAGGGCGGCGAGTAGGCAAAGTAATTGTCATTATTCACGTTTGAGATTCGGGCTTCTTAGACTGCCCTACGACATGCTTCAGGAAGGTGACCTGCTATCAGTTACAACCGTTAAGAATCGTTTGCCAAAGAAGTGAAAACATCCTACAAAAAATGTCTTTCTATTTTCCTGCATGTTTATGTTTGTTCTTGTTTGATTTGATGGAGTTTCCTGTTTTAATGGGATGAAATTGATTTGAATGACATTTATTTTTGTATCCATAAATCACAACAGTAGTAATCTTGAAGGAGCTAACAAAGTTGTTGATTAGAAAAAATGAGAAAAAACACATACCATTGGTTCATAAAGGGGGGATTACCAATGACCATGGATCTTCAACACTGTCCTTAAACCCCAGACATCCAGAGATCTAATTTATTTCACAACCATCAGCTTTCATTATGATTATCAAATAAAAGACGAAACATTTTCATGAAAGCCTCAACTGTACCTGTAAGTGTATAATGTTCATCTGCACCTCTGCCTTTACCCTCACCACTTTCCTTTCATTGCTTACTTTGTTTGTTGATTATTTTTTGTAATCTGGCAGTTTGGTATTAATGAAAAAAATAGAGTGTGTGCTGCAAATAATGTGCTCTTTCTGGGAAACCAGAAACCACTGATGTATATTCTTCCAATTGTATCATTGCATTTAGTGTTGTTTTTCTCTGAACCTTTTAAACTCTTCTTTTTCTCAACTATAGCTCCCAATCGTATCAACGTTTACAATCGATACATTAACAATCTGACCCAAGTGCAAATCCTGATTTCATTTGTTAAAAATATTAACTTTATCAAATCTATTTAAATCAGATTTCAAATGTTCCATCCATGGGTGACAGGCAATAACTGTCTTAGCAGACTGAAAAACAATATGGTCTTTTTTGTTTTTCAGGTCGGGGAGTGTGGCCGGAGACTGGGGGGAGATCTACTTGTTTGTGAGGAATCTGACCGATCGATTTGTGAGGTGAGAATCTCTGAGCAGCCTCTGCAGCACCGACAGGGATAGTCTCTCCTTCTCCACTTCTCTCCCGGAGGAGGTTTCATTCTGTAGTGGGAATCAAATACATTGATATTATGGAATTTATATCTTCTTACTTCATACCTTTGCTCTGCCTTTTGATATTGGTGATATCTAAAGGTGGTCTCCCACCTATGGCTCAGGAGGTTAAATTAAAAATGAAAACAATTGTGACATTTCTTAAAAGTGGATTTTGTACAATATGGGCACTTTAAAAATAGATTTAACACAACAAGACACGTTTAATTGGCTAAAATGAAAGCATGGGACCCGCACTTTTGAGACAACTTTGCCCAGCTCTTTGGTGAAAAAGTGCCCATTAGATTCTGCTAACACTGCTGTGGCGTCTTCCTCTGAGTTCCCACCTAATTTTCACAGCAAACTCATCCCAAACTCCCCTAAATGTCCTTTTAACACATAATTAATTAGTGGAGGCGTCTCAAAAACCCCGCGCCTGTCTACCAGCTCCGCACTGTACAGACGGCAGCCACACAGCCAGAATGCCAGCGCGCTCGGCTGAAGAAAATAGCAGTAGCAGCAGGTGGGAGTGGGAGGCGGAGAGGAGCAGTCTTCTGGGCTGTGAGAATCGGACATTTGCACTGGGGGGAGGGGGGAGGAGAGCGAGGAGACAATGGAGATCAGGCCTGTGTCGTCATATACATTATACAGTTAGAAGCACTGACGTTTTCGGTGATGTGCAGTGAAGGTGCATGAGCCAATCATGAAAGATACTCGAAATGCTTTCGTAACATGTTTCTGCCTTCTATTCTGTCTATGTTCAGTCCCGCACTGGTCCTTTACTTGAAAACATGGTGGTCACATCCTAGGAAGAGCAAGCTTAGACTGTAGATCAAGTAAAGAAAAAAAATGTCCCTTCGAGAATTGAAAAGGCTACATACTGTGTTTGTTCATTCTAATAATAATTTTAAAAGGACAAACAACAATTGGATGAAAAATAAGCCAAAGATTACTCAAATATATCTTAATTTGAGCACATTTTGACTGCCTTAAAACAAGATTTGCCAATGGGACAAGCACAATTATCTTGTTTTAAAAAGAGACAAAAAGTGTCTCCCTTGGAATAAGAAATTAAAGCAACAGTTCTTTAAATAAGACTAAAAGGCTTTGTCTCATTGGCAAATCTTGTTTTAAGGCAGTCAGAATGTGCTCAAATAAGTATAAAAACACTCAATTCAAGCAAGTATTGCCTCATAATTTAATATTTTTTTGCAGTGTATTTTGAAGATTTGTTGATAAAACAAGCCTCTTAAATATTGTATTTTTCTCATAAATAATAATTTTCTCATAAAGAATAATTTTCTCATAAGGAAATAATTATCTCATTCCAAATGAAACATTCATCTTTTTCATCGTGTTAACTACTCTCTGTAAGTCAGAACTCTATAAACATTTCCTGAAATGTGTGGGGATTGTGTATGAGGTAATGGCTTCCTGTGTACACTTCGAATGAAACGCTCTTGAAGTTGTTTTTTTTACTCTGAGCAAGACTTTTAAACATACCGAATGTAGAAAATCACATTGCAGTTTGGTTAGAAATATTGTAAATAGATATTTTGCATCCCTTCTGAAGAATCATCAGCGTATAATAGATTCAGGAAAATGTGGCTAAACACAAGAGAATAAAAATGACTCAAAAACATGCTCAAATAAATTTTATATCAGCTGCAATCTGTGGAAAGTCCACTATAGTGATGTTGTGTCCGCTTTAAACTGTTTAATGATGCTCATAGATCCGGAGAAGTTTGTCTTAAATACAAGTTAACTCAGATTCAACACTTCAACCCTTTTAATTGTCAATGCATTCAACTGTAAACTATGGTAGCACCACTTAAAAAGACAAAAAACAACAGCATTAAGCTAATACAACATCAATGTCACCTTTGCTCATTTGTGCCGGCAAAGACGAAACAGAGTTTTTTCTCCCATATTCAGTGCTGCAGGGGATTTGTCGGTTCGTGTAATATCTTGTATGTCAGGTTTCACACACATTTGAATGTTCTTGGACCGGGCTAAGATATGCACTGTGAACCAAATCTTCATTTCAAATAATACATTTCTAAATCTACATTGCAAAAGAGAGTGATCAGCCTTAAATCACTCAAATTAAGGTTTTTGTTGTAGATGTAGCTATTTTAACTAAGATAGACTCACTCACAAAAAAAAAAACTAAACTAAAGAATTAAAATCCTTGTAAAGCACTTTGGGTGACCTTGGGGCTCTATTTAATTAAAGATGACTTATTTAATTACCTGTACTTACTTACAATGGCAAAACAATGCTCTAAAACTAGTACAAAACTACTAAAACATTATCCTGATTTCGAGTCATTTGAAGACATCAAGAAATAGATTATTTTGTAGTGCACTCGCAGTATTTGTCATAAATCACAAGTAACATGTCGAGAATTGTTGGGTACAGTCGGAGGAGGAGTGTAAGAATGGGAGGACAATCTGCTTGACAATGCTGAGTGCGCGTGGCCACTTCTGTTGGGCCATGTGGAGCGGCCCGAGCCCAATCCCAGGCATCTCACACACTTTGTCCCTGGCACTCCAACCTGCGGAACAAGCGGTGCCCGCAACACCCAGCTCCAGCGAGAGAGCCAAGTCTAAAGGGCCTTTGTCAACTGCTTTGTGGACAACTTAGGAATGGTATGTCAGGTTTTAAACGCCGTGAGAGGTTACCAGGGATGGGACAAGAGCTTATAGTATGGTTATTGTACCGTGTGTTTACTCAAAGCTTGTTCAAAGAATGGGCAAAATGATGATGTTGAATATTTTGTTCTGTATCACCAAAAAGCAAATAAATTAAATATTACATTGAGATCATGTGTAATGTGGTCAATTGTGCTAAACGTTGATTTCTAGGGCTGTAACTTAACTATTATTTTTATAATAAATTAGTTGTTTGAATCTCGAAAAGTCATTTTGACCAAAGGGAAGTCTGGACCTTGTTGTCATCACCTTATAAGGAGTGAAGCCCAAAGACTGGGCCAAGGACTGGGCCTCATCTGTTTGATTTTTACATTTGCAGAGAGAAAAAGAGATTAAACATTGGAGAAGAGGGAAAGGTAGGGAAAGAAACAATGAGCTTTGAGAAGCAATACAAATTTCAGGTTGTAACTCTTGATCAAGCTCAAATGTAGAGATCAGCCTTTGGCTTAAGCTATTTACAGGACATTTAACAACATAAAAGTAGTTAAATGTCCACTCACTTCTTGTTCAACATTGCATATTTGTTTCTCCTTATCTGATCCTTCCTCTTCAAAGTTTTTTTGAAAAAAAAACTTTGAAGAGGAAGAACTTTGAGAAGAGAAAAAGAGAATACGGAAATTTTAGATGGTCAGATGTTTTTGTTACATGAACATAATCCGTGTTCTGTTTTCTGGAAAACCAGATGAAAATAGTTTTCTTGAAACCAAACATTTTTTTTTCTTCTAGTTAAAGAGGTAGTGAGTAATGCTTCCTTAAAAGAGATGTATGATGCAAAATGATCTCTTGTTCCCTCTTCAAAAAAGACCTGGAGTTGTTTTTAGATCCATCCATGCTAACTATCAGGAACTTCTGGCACAAACATTTAACTTTGCCCCTTCTGTCTAAAAGCTTTGCAATAAATAAATAAAAAAATCTATCATACTTGTATCATACACATTGAATCGAATGGTTTTATCTTAATCAGAGTACATTCTGACTGATTCTGTCTTAAAACAAGACTTGCCATTGGGACAAAAAATTCAGTCTTATTTCAACGACTGCTTTATTTTCTCCTTCTAAGGGAGACATTTCTTCTATCTTTTTAAAGCAAGATACTTTTGCTTGTCCCCTTGGCAAATCTTGTTTTAAGGCAGTCGTAATTTTGCCAAATTTAGCAAAATTTGTTTTACTTTTTTTTCATCACTTTTTGCAGTGTTAATTACCCTTGACAGTTATTTCACCATATATTTTCTCCTGAAGAATGCAAGAAAGTACGGTAAATAGTCAATAGCCAATGAATGTGTAATATTTCTTCTTTAATTTCAAATGTTATTCAGAGTGGATCCCCAATCACTACATTTTCCCTTTTTCCGTCTTGTTTCCCAATATTGACTCTACAGACCTGACTCGCAGCTGCACACCTCCCCTTGCACAAACTCCGCTCGGCCTGGTCTGCACGCTCGCCTCCCCTGCGCTAAGTTTTGCTGCGGTCCATATGACGGCGGAGTGTCCACAGGATACGTACTGAGCGTGTGCGATGGCGTGGGCCCGTATCACCACCTCTCCTTATGCTCCTCAGAGTCAGAGCTGCACGAACGCACAGACAAGCGTGTGTTCTGCAGCCCAGGGAGGCAAACATCTGACATCACACATTCACACGATAGAGACGCCGCTATCTGCAGATGGAGCACCGCGCTAAGTGTCAAGAGTTAGCGGTCTCACCTCCACGCAAGAAGGTCGCGGGTTTCGTGACATTTGGGGGACGTTTTAATTGCATTTTTTTTTTCTCCTTTTACATTCATTTTCTTCTATCGCAAATTTGCAAACCGTATTTGCATTTCAGATGGATTTCATAGCAACCAAAGAGGCAATCGACAGCCTTGCGATGCTTAGTTACAAGGCATCGTAGCTGTCAATCAGAGCTGGGGCTAGAGCTAGCTGGAGGCGGATTTGAAGAGAGAAGGCATGCATCTAATTGTAGAAGTAGTAGCGATTTTTTTATCTTCAAAAGACAACAAACAATAAACAGGATGCAAACAATAAGAACCACAATACACAGTTTGAAAAGGGGTTTGGGGTTTTGCTTGCTTTGGTTAGTGTTTTAACTGATGATTTTAAATTGTTGCTCTTAAATGTTGTCAATGTGGAGCCCTTTGAGTTGCATTTTGTCTGAACTGTGCTATATAAATACATTTGGATTGATTGAGGGAATACAGGGAAATTAAATTGACATAGTTTGTGTCCAAAATTGCCTTATTCAGAGTAAGGATTGTAAACGTTTTGATGCCTTCATGTGGGACAAAAAAATAGAGAGGCAACAGTGATCTCGTTTGATATAGTTCTCTCACCATGCATGTTTTTTTTGGCTGATGTCAAATTTTAAACATTAAAAAAGAGGAGACATGTATTGTGCCAGGTTGTAGCAGCAGTGCTATTTTACAACTGTAGTCCCTGAGCAGGTTGTTCTGTTGGGACAAAGTCATGTATCAATATGTTATGTTAGGAACCCCAGCTTTAATGTCGCACGCATCCAAAAAAGCACGTCATGTCTCCTTGCTCGTTCTTGCTATGGGCGTGATCGTGGAGTGTCTCTCTTAAGGCCAGGTGCAGTCTTTCTCAGCCGCGGTGTGAGTCAGCGTCCGCCCGTGTGTTTTTGCGCCTGGATCCTGTTCTCTGCTGCTTCTGTCACTTCCTCAGAGATGCGCCGACTATTAATATGTGACATTCAGCGGCCTTCTGTCTCTGCTCTTACGTTTCGAAAGTGGGAAAAAAGCAAGCACCAGCTGCTTTTGCATCAAATGTTAGAACGTGTCACAAGTCGGCGAGAGGAGGACGGAAAAGCATATTATTACTTAGAGTTGGGAGTTCAGCCGGAAAAACGCAGCTGAAATGTTTGAGCAGCTGCTAGATAACTGTGTTTTTCCTTGGCATGTCTGTTAGTAAGTATTACATAGAATAAAATTAAATGTTAAAATGTTGTTTAGTTAATGGTTTAGATAATGGTTTTGTTTCATTAAATTAAAGCAGCTGGACCTAACTGTTCTTTTCATGAATAATAAATTGTGTTTGTAGTAACAGAAAGAGTAAGGGTTTGTGAACAAATCAGACTAGAACATCCTGTCTATACCTTATTAGTAATCTTAGATGTCTTGTATATACAAACACTGTGAATCAGTATTTGGGCTGAGAGTTGATTGGCTGAGGGATCGGGGTCCTCTCTCTTTCACTTTTCTGTCTGAAAAAGCTGATCTAAAGATGGGACTAAGGCCAAAAAAACATAAATGGGAAAACTAGTGATAGAACCAAACTGTTTCAATCGCGCGAGAAGAGTTATATGGATTTGTATTACATATCCCATGTTTTTGTGGTCTGAAAATTTGGTAACCCAGTTCTAAATGCCTTTTGATCTTTAACCATTTTTCAAATGTTCTGGTCCAGCATAAGGACAGATACACAAATACACAAAATATATGTATAATTTTATATATTTTTCTTTTATGTCTTTAGCCCCAGATTGAGAGTTTCCATTATCTTATTCTCGACTCAGGCTCAGGTCCTTCTGCCTCTCACTGGAGACCGGTATGAAACAGTAAAGTTTATTTCCATTTTCTAATTTTATGAACGGAAAAGTGAGAAAAAGTGAGGATGAATGCATGTTTTCTCCAGTCATCAGATCGAGGATGGTCTGAGACGTCTGCAGATGGTGCAGCCAGCGGGAGAGACGTATATGCATGAGGGGATGAAAGAGGTGAGAGGGGAAAGAAAGTTTGTAATTCTATAAACTAAAGTAGTACATTTTATTGACATTTTTAGTGTCACGCCAACTGCCAACTTCATCTTACTGCTTAGCCTTAGAAGGACCTTAATTACTCTTGAGGCACTGTAGAAAACAAATAGAAAGAGAATAGTGTCCTGTATTTAAGAGTTGATATGGCAATTGTGCACCAGAGTTAAAATGGGCCTAGAAGTAACCAGAATATCCTCATGTTATAGCCGTCCAAATATATTCCTCACTTTCTCAAACATTGATTATTCACCGCAATGAGATCATGAAAAAACCTCACATAGACTGAGTGAATGTCCTGCTTTAGTCTTCTAGTAGCTAAGGCTTGCTGGAGATGGACCTTCCTTAAACTTCCTTAAACAAAGTTTAGAAAGTCCTTTTAGTCCCTAACGTTTTGGCATTAAAAACGACCGCAATACTAACACTGGGTAACAAAAAAATATTTTTTGAAAATAGTCCAGGGTTTTCCAGCTAAATTAGACTAATTTTGATGCTCTGAGTCCAAAAATGACCTTGGTTTTGCTCAATCAGGTCAGGATTTTTTGCTACAGAAATATTTTTTTTAATCAATTTTGCGTAAAAAACAAATTTCTGCGGATCATCAGCTGAGAAACCCTTGACGTTTTTTCTGTTTTCCTCAAGAAACAAAAGTCAACGTATCCAAAGTCATTCAGTTTTTATTTACTCCATCAAATTTGATAAGCAGAATTCATAATAACGTAGACGTACGTAGCTGGCTGTATCTCAAAAAGTTGACCTGATGGAGCAAAATGCATGTGATATTCGGACTCAGAACACCAAAATTAGTCTAAATCAGTTGAGAAATCCCTGACCATTTTTTGGCTGTCAACTTGTGTAGTAGTTCTTCCTGAGTGGATATGGTGATGGAGGGTAAATATTGTTTTAAAGTCAATTTACTTCTGTGATTCAATTTAAAATGTGAAACCGATGATAGTCTCATTATAAGCCTGAGATATATCTAGTCTTTATTATTTATAGTGTTGATACATTTTTGTAATAACCCAAAAAAACACATTTATTTTATTTTATTTTATTTATTTATTCATTTGAGCTGACAAAAGGATTGGGCCGAAGCAAGAGCTTATTGGTGCCCCACGGGGGTGGGCACCAATAAGAATAATTAAGTGATTAATACATTACAATACATGATTGCAAACAAAGGCCTGGCATATGTCACTAATAAGTGTCATATTTTGTTTTCAGATTTTAAGAATTACAGAAACAAATGAACTTTTAGAATGTTATTTGAATTTTCCGTGTTTCATCTGCATATGGTGTTTTCCTTGGCTTTTCCACAGGCCCGGACGCAGATCGAAACTCAAAATATGAAGTCGTCCAGCATCATTTTAGCTCTGACAGATGGAAAACTTTCAGTGTTCATCAACGAGCTCACGGTCAAAGAGGTGAGCTATTTTAACAACTCCTCAACGTCACTTTGGTCTATCCACAGTGAATTTGTTAGGCAGAAATAGCAAAAGCAAGCCTCTTTCCTGATTGGCTCTTTGGTTGCTATGAGATTGCCATGAGAGTGCTTGGCTCCAAATTCCTGCACATGGAGCTTGTCAGAACAGTTCTAGAGCGTTTTGCACTTGGGACATCAACTGTTATCCAGCAGAAATGGTCAGAAGCTGAATGCCCTGTTTAAGGCAATTTAAAATTATTATGTGAATAGTAGAGGTGCAACGGTTCATCACTGATCCGTGATCCGTTCGGTTCAACGTCTTCGGTTCGGTACAGACGTTATCCGGGGTTTGATTTATGAAAAAAAACTTGTGCGCACGTTGTTCAGTCCACACACAGCGCGGTCATTGCGAGCGGAGGAACGGAGATGCTTGAAAGCCCCGCGTCATTTAAATCCCCAGTATGAGAGCATTTTGGCTTCACTGTAACTACACTGATAATTAATATTCGACAAAACTGTCACGATGTGTAAGCACTGTGGCACAAGAAAGACATGAGTGAAAAAAGCGTCTCAACGACCGCTTATTGTCGCGGCATTTAAGCAGCTCCTTTACGCACAGTCAGACCGGGCTAGAGTCAACTCTCCCGCGCATCCTCAGCTGCGCTCACGACTGACGCTTGGACGTCCCGCGGAACCTATAATAGATCCATGAGCAGAACCGCTCACTTCATCACCGCAGACTGGGAGATGAAAAGTCTGGCGCTGCAGACACGCCCCCTCTACGACAGTCACACTGTCACCCAGCGCAGGTACTGACACAAGCAGCGGAGGAATGGAAGACAAAGGCCCTGTACTAATATCCCAGTCACAACTGATAATGCCAAAAATTAAATAAATGCAGTGAATGAGGCTGGGCCCAGAATGGAGCGCCTCCTCGAATCAGGAAGGTGGTGTAATATATGAGAGTAAATATCCTCATAAAGTGCCTTCTTATGTTGCACTTTGTGTTGTTTTTCATTAATTATGTTAAATAGACATAATTGGATGGATGGAATATTCCATCCATCCATCCATCCATTTCCTTCCCCTTAATTCATTTCTAGGTCAGGGGGGGCAGTCAGAGCAGGTGCCGAGTCCACATGAGCTGTGTTTATTAAAAAGACAACACTTTTTTTTTGAAAAATGAACCGAAAAATGAACCGAACCGTGGCCTCTGAACCGAGGTACGAACCGAACCGTGATTTTTTCAAACCGTTGCACCCCTAGTGAATAGTGTAAACATGTGTATATATCAATACCTGCAGTGAGGTTGTGTGTCTGTTTTCTTTTATTTGCTTTTTTCGTGTGGTTAGTGATGGGAGACCTCTGGGAAAACCAGGTGCCACAGTGGGGCGGCTGCGGCTGTAAAGTGCTAAAATGCTGTTGTGTCCTTTGGCAAGACACTTCACCCACATTACCTAGAATGAGTCTGGTGTGTGTGTGAATGGTTAGTAGTGATCAAAGGCTGGCTTCTGTAAGTGTGCCCCAGGGCAGCTGTGGCTGCAGTAGTACTTTATCACCACCTTGTGAATGAATAATGAAATATAAAGCATCTTTGAGTGTCAAAAAAAGTGCTATATTCAATTACATTTAATTCAATGTATTCTTGTATAGCCCTAAATCACAACAGCAGTTATCTCAGATGGGGACAATTACATCACTTATGAACTCATTGTTGTGTAGTGTAGACAGTATTGTTCTGATCTCTTTAGTCTGTTGTGTGCAGGCGGACGAGGCGCGCAAGTTCGGGGCTCGTGTTTACTGCGTGGGAGTGAAGGACTTTGACGAGCAGCAGGTAAAAAACACATTTTACTCCACACTGTAGTAACATTGTCAAGACTACCAGCCAGAAATCAAGTCTACATGTCAGAAGTCACATATCTGTAAATACAATCTAAATGCCTTATAGTTTACAGACACAAGATGAAAAAGGGAAATCTCATAATATTTACAAAAAATAATGCACAAAACATTTCAATAAAATCACCACAGACCTCTCATCCTGTTTGATGGTGATTGCTTAAAAGAAAAAGTCACTGCAACTTCTTTATTAAGAGATTAAGATTAAGAGATCCTTTATTCGTCCCACAGTGGGGAAATTTCAGTGTTGCATCACAAGTTATAGAACAATACAATACAATACAATTTATTCTTGCATAGCCCTAGGTCACAACAGAAGTCATCTCAGAGGACTTAACAAAACCATTGAAATCACCAACACAGGTCAGAAAATCAACAGTTAAAACACATGAAAAATATAAAGCACACACAGAAGAAAATGTCCATACATGTTGTAGAATGCTAAAGTGTCCTGATCATCACCAATCCTTTCTGTTGGACACTAACTGTCCAACAAGACCCTCCTGCATCGACAAGGAAAAACTCTTAAAAAACCCAGTGGGAAAAAGTGAGAAACCTTGGGGAGCACTAGGGAAACCCACAGGGAGGGAGACCCATTTGAGACAGGGATCCGCTCCTCCAGAACAGTAGGAAAGAGGAGCACACGGCACAAGTTAAGTGAACAATAGCTATACTCATTGAAATAAAACAAAATCTCTAACTTTAGCATCAATAAAAGTATAAAATGTCTATCTTGAAAATAATAATAAAATAGGTGTAAAAGTTTAACATTTGGCCAAATAAGAGGCAAGTATAAAGTACTGTGTATTCTAGTGCAAGCAAATAGTTATATATTTGCATCTGTACATGTTAGCAGAAGTATGTTTTCATCTGTGCATTAGCAGCAGTATGTTTTCATCTTTACATTAGCAGCAGTATGTTTACATCTGTACATTAGCAGCAGTATGTTTACATCTGTACATTAGCAGCAGTATGTTTTCATCTTTACATTAGCAGCAGTATGTTTACATCTGTACATTAGCAGCAGTATGTTTTCATCTGTACATTAGCAGCAGTATGTTTACATCTGTACATTAGCAGCAGTATGTTTTCATCTGTACATTAGCAGCAGTATGTTTACATCTGTACATTAGCAGCAGTATGTTTTCATCTGTACATTAGCAGCAGTATGTTTACATCTGTACATTAGCAGCAGTATGTTTACATCTGTACATTAGCAGCAGTATGTTTACATCTGTACATTAGCAGCAGTATGTTTACATCTGTACATTAGCAGCAGCATGTTTACATCTGTACAGTAGCAGCATGAGGCTCTGAGACACAGGGACTCAGTAAAGTGACATTACAAGTCATTTTTGGATGTTGCCGAGTTACAATTTGGTTATAACTTTTTATTCAGAGGATTATAGATTTTTATTTTGCATCTGCAGCTTGTCCAGCGGGTCAAATAATCTATGAATAAAAGGTCATGACTATTCAAATCTAGATACAATATTTTTGGAAAACTGGAGAGCAATGTTCAAATTGTATTTTTGTATATTTTAGTGATTTAATAATTTATTGCTTTAATGAAAGTGCTGATCTTTGGTATTTTGTGTCAATGTTTTTAAAAAGTAATGTCTTTTGTAAATTCATTATTTTAATTTACAATATTCTGCTCATAGAGTTTTAGAGACATAAATAATATGAATAATGATAATAACAATAATAGTATTTATAGTAATAACAACATTAGCCATATTATTAGCAGTAGTAACAGAAGTAGTTTTCAGCAGCCCAAACATTTGGAGTGTGAATTTTGGCGTATCCATTGGAAACCGCCCGTGTGACAAACGTCCATTTAGTCAAATAACAAAAGCCACTTCTTTCCCAAACATTTTTTTGGGCAGTTTTAGAAAGTGTCAGGCCATCTGCTGCTGTCCTCTTCTTCACTGCCCAAAGAATTATTCCACAAGCGCATGGCCGCGGCGTTCGTCAGAGGAAACCTGATAAGGGAAAGTCTGTTTCATTTACGTTTTCTGCCTTTTTTTGACCCGATCACGCAGCTTGTCAACATCGCCGACACCAGAGACCAAGTGTTCCCGGTCAAAGATGGCTTCCAAGCACTCAAAGGCATCGTCAACTCGGTAAGGCTATCTCCTATTGGCTAACACTTCAGATGGGACACAAAGCTTCAAGAACAAAAATGAAACAAGTGAGAACAAGAATATATTTCTTCACCATTTGCTTTGTGACAAACTATAGATCAAGCCTTCATTTCACCTCTGGCACCTTTGAAAATGTTATAATGCAAAAAACTAAATACATCCTTTGTATCAAGTTTTATGTATGTGTAGAAATATTTTTTTTTCAGAAATGATTCAGTCTTTTTAACATCTCATTTTCACAACTTTGCACAGTGGTTATTTTGATAAATATATTTCTGTCTGTAAAAGACAGACAGACTTTAAGGAGGATTTAGGGATTCCCCACAAGCTTCATCAATACAGTATTTGAATTAACTATATTAATTTCCCAGCTCAAGGCTAAATAATATAGACCCACAAAAGAAGCAGCTTTTAAATTATGAATGTGTTTTTTTAGGTTTTTTTCATAGGTAGAACAATGCTTTTTCTTACTCAACACTACTTTTTACATTTTCAGTGTAATAGCAGGTAGATCTTTTTAACATAGTAACAATGTGTCTTCATTTGGCTGAATCTACTTTGTTCCTTTCTGCTTTTGCTGTAACAGAATCCTCAAATGCTCAATGTACAAATGATGTCAAAGCTGTTCACTGTCAAAATGAAACCTCGCAACATTTTAAGCACATTCTGTCATTGTTGAAAACCTATTCTCCTCTACGCAGACTAGATACTTGTGCACCATTCGGAGTCCAAAAGCCTTGTGAAATCTGTTGTTTATTTTACTGTTTCCGTTGCCAGATCGTTATCGGGACTTTCCTCTTGCTTTGGTCTAGAGACTGGGTGTGTGGACTCATTTTGGGGAATATTTCAAAGCAAAAGTAACTGAAGACCAGTGTATGGAGGCCGTTTTTTTTTTTTTACAGTTGATTTTTTACAGAGAATACAGAGCTATATATTTATCAAATGTTTCCTCTTTCACATACAATAGTATATGATACATTATAATGCACCTTTTAGTTCCTTACCTGTAAAATGTTTTGAAACTTTGTGTATGGAATGTAGCTTAGATATCAAATAGGTTACGAAATGATTATTTTAAAAGTTATCGGGCACAGCAGCAACAGCAGATCTGATATCAGTAAATGTTTGCAGACTGCCATGAGTTATAGTGCGGATATTGTGGCAGCCATCTTGCATTTCAGGACAAGATTCTAATCGAAATGAATATGAATGTGTACAATTAAAGTTGGGGTACCTAACTTTCACACAACAAGAAACAAACTATTTCAAAAAATGTGTTCCATTATTTATGAAACAAAACGGTTATGTACCACAGCTTTAACTCAAGTGATGGAATGGATACAGTATAACGGTACACTAATGTCCTAATAATACAGAATACAGAAGGAATGGAAACAATGTTGGCAATACAAACAACATGAATGCGACTTGTTTCTGACCATTTTCAACACACTATTTTAGGGCTGAAGTATAATCACTAAAATCACAATTATTGGATAGAATTCTATGTATTTTTGTATAGCAGCAGTTGTCTCTGAGGATTTAATAACGTTGTCAATTCACCAACAACACAACACACAGAATCACACATAGGAGCTACGAGTCCATAGGGAGCAGGATGAGCAATGTCCATAAATGTTGATATATGTCCTTAAACGTTCTGGATCATCACTGTCCTTAGACCCTCCTACATCGGAACTCAAAACGGAGGGAAAAGCTATGGATTCAAGTCATACTGACGCAGCCTCGCAACGTGCTATAGCCAGAGTTGGACCAGGACTCGCTCTGGCCTAAACCCACACTGATGCAGCCTCTCAGCTGGGTGCGGGCTCCTCTCTGGTCTCACACATTTGCATAGTTAGTCGTGTCGTAGTTTTTATTGGATGTTGGCCGTGCGCCTCGTCCTGTCCGCGAGCTCTTTATATGATAATGTCCCGGCTCTTTTATTGCGTTTCCTCTTCTGAGAAAGTGTATGATTGAGTCTGCGCTGCTGCAACAAATACATGAACGCTTAAGTAGTTTGAAGCATTTGATCATTGTTTTTTTCCACTAATACATAAATAATGATGTGGTGTTTATTTTTATACACTTGCAAAGTCCTTCTAAATGTCTCTCTGCCTCCAAAGTGAAACTCAACAGTGCACAAGCAAGTCTTCTTTTAAGGACAATTTGAGAATCAGGCTTTTTATTGTCAGTAATTCTTATAATGTACAGTTTCATGTTATGCCCCATTTCATGTTTCATGCCCCCCATCTCAGCCGCCATGTGTTGGAGTTCTCCCCGGTGAATGAGAGGGTCGCGTCCCTCCGCCTCCGGGTGGGGGACAAGTCTCTCATTGTTGTGACGGCCTACGGGCCTAACAGCAGTGCAGAGTACCCGGCCTTCTTGGAGTCCTTGGGAGGGGTACTGGACGGTGCACCGCCCGGGGACTCTGTTATTCTCCTGGGGGACTTCAACGCCCATGTGGGAGTCGCCAGTGACACTTGGAGAGGGGTGATCGGAAAGAACGTCCCCCCTGATTTGAACCCGAGCGGTGTTCAGTTGTTGGACTTCTGTGCCAGTCACAGTTTGTCCATCACGAACACCATGTTCGAGCACAAGGGTGTCCACCAGTGCACGTGGCACCAGGACACCCTAGGTCGGAGGTCGATGATCGACTTTGTTGTCGTATCATCTGACCTTCGGCCGCGTGTCTCGGACACTCGGGTAAAGAGAGGGGCGGAGCTGTCAACCGATCATCACCTGGTCGTGAGTTGGATCCGCTGGCAGGGGAAGAAGCCGGTCAGACCTGGCAGACCCAAGCGTATAGTGAGGGTCTGCTGGGAACGTCTCGCTGAGCCCCCTGTCAGACGGACTTTCAACTCGCACCTCCGGGAGAGTTTCTCCCAGGTCCCGGCGGAGGAGGGGGACATGGAGTCCGAGTGGACCATGTTCTCTGCCTCAATCGCCGATGCGGCGGCTCGTAGCTGTGGTCGCAAGGTCTCTGGTGCTGGTCCCGGCGGCAACCCCCGAACCCGGTGGTGGACACCGGCAGTAAGGGATGCTGTCAGGCTGAAGAAGGAGTCCTATCGAGCCATGATGGTTCGGGGGACTCCTGAGGCAGCTGTCCAGTACCGGCAGGCCAAGCGTGCCGCGGCCCGGGCTGTTGCAGAGGCAAAAACCCGGGACTGGGAGGAGTTCGGAGAGTCCATGGAGCATGACTATCGGTCGGCCTCGAAGAGATTCTGGCAAACCATCCGGCGCCTCAGGAGGGGGAAGCAGTTCTTTGCCAGCACCATGTACGGTGCGGGTGGAGAGCTGCTGACCTCGACTGGGGATATTATTGGGCGGTGGAAGGAATACTTTGAGGTTCTCCTCAATCCCCCCGTCACGTCCTCTGTTACAGAGGCAGAGGCTGAGGATGTTGGGGCGGATACATCCATCTCCCTGGCTGAGGTCACCAAGGTGGTTGGTAGCCTCCATGGTGGCAAGGCTCCGGGTGTGGATGAGATCCGCCCTGATTATCTAAAGTCTCTGGGTGTTGTAGGACTGTCTTGGCTGACACGTCTCTGCAACATCGCGTGGCGATCGGGGGCAGTGCCAATGGAGTGGCAGACCGGGGTGGTGGTCCCTCTCTACAAGAAGGGGGACCGGAGGGTGTGTTCCAATTATCGTGGGATCACACTCCTCAGCCTCCCCGGTAAGGTCTACTCCAGGGTACTGGAGAGGAGGTTACGGCCGATGGTCGAATCTTGGATCCAGGAGGAGCAGTGTGGTTTTCGTCCCGGTCGCGGAACACTGGACCAGCTCTATACTCTCCATCGGATACTCGAGGGTTCATGGGAGTTCGCCCAACCTGTCCACATGTGTTTTGTGGATTTGGAGAAGGCGTTCGACTGTGTTCCCCGGGGTGTCCTTTGGGGGGTTCTCCGGGAGTACGGGGTCGGGGGTCCTCTGCTGAGGGCCATCCGATCCCTGTATGACCGGAGCCAGAGCTGTGTTCGCATTGCCGGCAGTAAGTCAGACCTGTTCCCGGTGAGTGTTGGCCTCCGACAGGGCTGCCCTTTGTCACCGGTTCTGTTCACTGTATTTATGGACAGAATATCTAGGCGCAGCCAGGGGTCTGAGGGGGTCCGGTTCGGAGACCACAGGATTTCATCTCTGCTGTTTGCGGACGATGTTGTCCTGTTGGCTCCAACGAACCAGGGCCTGCAACATGCACTGGGGCGGTTTTCAGCCGAGTGTGAAGCGGCTGGGATGAGAATCAGCACCTCCAAATCCGAGGCCATGGTGCTCGACCGGAAAAAGGTGCCTTGCCCTCTGCAGGTGGGTGGAGAGGTCCTTCCTCAAGTGGAGGAGTTCAAGTATCTCGGGGTCTTGTTCACGAGTGAGGGAAGAATGGAGCGTGAGATTGACAGGCGGATCGGTGCAGCGTGCGCAGTGATGCGGTCGCTGTATCGGACCGTTGTGGTAAAGAGGGAGCTGAGCCGAAAGGCAAAGCTCTCAATTTACCGGTCAATCTTCGTTCCCTCCCTCACCTATGGTCATGAGCTTTGGGTAATGACCGAAAGAACGAGATCGCGGATACAAGCGGTCGAAATGAGCTTCCTCCGCAGAGTGGCTGGGCGCTCCCTTAGAGATAGGGTGAGGAGCTCAGTCACACGGGAGGAGCTCGGAGTAGAGCCGCTGCTTCTCCACGTCGAGAGGAACCAGTTGAGGTGGCTCGGGCATCTGTTCCGGATGCCTCCTGGACGCCTCCCTGGGGAGGTGTTCCGGGCACGTCCCACTGGGAGGAGGCCCCGGGGAAGACCTAGGACACGCTGGAGGGACTATGTCTCTCAGCTGGCCTGGGAACGCCTTGGGGTCCCCCCGGACGAGCTGGAGGAAGTGTGTGTGGATAGGGAAGTCTGGGCGTCTCTGCTTAGACTGCTGCCCCCGCGACCCGACAACGGATAAAGCGGAAGAAAATGGATGGATGGATGGAGTTTCATGTTATACTATAGTGCATTGTAAGGTTTAGATTGTGTTGAAAAAGTGAGAGGTTTGGAAGTCTGCTTCATTCAACACTTTGTATTTATAAATCTGTGTCTGTTATGTTGCTCTGTGAAATGTGGTGAGCACGTTTGAAATATATAATCTAATTTACTGCAGAAAAGCCATTAAGATTGTATCAAATATTAAGATTAATTAATAGATTCTTTATTCGTCCCACAGTGGGGAAATTTCAGTGTTGCATCACCAGTTACAGAACAGTAGGAACAGCACAAGATTGGTTGTCACGTCAACAAATTTACAGTTCAAATAAGATATAAAATAATGAATTGCAACCAAAAAAGAGCCTCTGAGCCTATCCTTTTCTACACCATCGGTTTAACCAGTTTTTAAGCCTTATACAACTATAATAAAGAAGTAAGTATAAAATCTCTAACTACGGACTTGCTTCTATGCTTCAAACAATAGACCATGTTCATAGAATCAAAAGAACTTTAACTGCAGGACTTGATGACCACAAAAAATGCTCAAATAATAATAAAGATGTCTATCACGCAAAATGTAGAACTAGTTTAAAATCTTTGTGTGTATCTTGAGTGCTACGAGTTACTCTTTGGAACAACTAACAAGAAGTACTGTACATGGAGAAAAGAGAGTGATGCCCTCAACACAGAGAGAGGTGTTGGGTCAGAGAGTGTTTTGTCTGTATGTGTGTTGATTTTTGTATGGCCTGCTTATTGCTTTTATATCTTTTGTGAATACGTTTGAAAACATACATTACCACTATGTACAAAATAATTTGTGTTGTTATGTTTTGTGCTTGTTTAGATATTGAAGCGGTCGTGCACTGAGATCCTGAGCGTGGAGCCGTCCAGTGTGTGTGTGAATCGTAAGTTTTCAACCACGCAGAAATATAGACATAACGCTTGACAAAAATGTATGGATATTTTGTTAGTCCCCTGACCACAGTATTTACACAATATCAATACAACAAAAACATGTTATGAAGCTGAATGCACACAAAAAAGCTATCACCCCCCACTACCTCCCTCCCCCTCAGCTGCACATGTGCTGTTTACGCAGCTCACGTCTCACAATATGGACACTTTTGAATGTAGATGGTGTGACCATAGAATGATAGAACCGGGAAGCGCGGATGGATGGATGTTTCGCTGTCTAAGCAGTAAAGAAGACACGGGAAGCCTCCGCCGCTTGTTTACCTCAGCTGTCTGTGCTAACGAGAGACTAGTGGTCCTCTGTGATTGGTCACAATCTGGTCCCAAAACAAATTCTCTTCCTTGTTGCACAAAAACTCGATTTAAAATAAAATGACACGCCAGCACAAATCTGCGCTACTTTTTCTTCAAAAGGACGTATCTCCCAATGCATTGCATGGATATGGATTGAATTTTTTTGATTGATACAAAAATAAAGTGAGGTAATGCAGCTTTAAGTTATTATCAGAATCTAAGCCAATCACAAAGACATTCAGTACAAAAGTTACAAAAAGCTATAGTTAAACATAAATATAAATATCGGAGTATTGCATGAGCATGATAAGCAGGTAGTTAGTAGTAGTTAGCGCTTGTACCTCACAGCAAGAAGGTCCTGGATTTTATTCCACCCCCACCACCTCTGTGTGGAGTTTGCATGATCTTCCCTAAAAAAAACGTACAAGAAATTGCTGTGAAAGGCGCTATAAACATTACTTACTTACTAACGTTAACAAAAGAATGGCCATAACGGTTTGAGTTTGTTGCTAACTAACAGGCAAACCCTGATGAAAACTAGCAGAGATAAAGACTTGAACAGCCTCACTGAACTGAGTCGTCTCTTTCAGAATCCTTCGACATCGTGTTGAGAGGAAACGGCTTCGCTCTGGGCCGCAGCGAGGAAGTGGTCTGCAGCTTCACCCTCAATGAGGAGACCATCAGTGAGTCTGTCATTGTCGTTATAAAAACCTCAAACCTTTTACAGTTTTTCAGGAAACACAATTTTTTGTTACATGATTTGCTCAACTTATTTTAATGGCACAGAGAAGTCACAATGTATCATAAGACTCCAAGATGCACCTCCTTGTGTACTTCTTTGTATCATATCATAGATTTAACACACACCTACACACACACACACACACCTACACACACACACACACAAATATAGTTATTTTAGGAATGGAGAAAGCTCATTGACGTCTTTTCAACCTGAAGTTAACTTATACTGTACTTGTTTGTATCATGACAGAATACATACACACACACGCGCACACACACATGCAAGCACATACACACACACCCATGCATCCACACACACACACACACACACACCAACGTACATGCACACGTAGTAGTGGGGGTTGTAAGTACAGATCCAGTATTATGCGTTATATCGGCTAACGACCAACAGAGATCGGCTAACGAGACTTGATTCTAAAGCAGAGGCCGATCAAGATTACCCAGTTGAAGCTTTATTATCGTAATAGATCAACATTGTTTATCATGACTAAAAAAAAAAAACATGGATCAACATTGTTTATCATGACGGGGGCGACAGTAGCTCTGTTGGTAGAGCATTGGCCTTCAGGCCTGAAGGTCGTGGGTTCAATTCCCACCTCTACACCTTCTCCACCGACTCCCACTGATGATTGCTGTCGTTGTGTCCTTGGGCAAGACACTTAACCCCACTTTGCCCAAAGCCCCCACTAAAAGGTCAAGGCTATGCTCACACTCAGAGAGCAGCCGTCCTCCTGTGGACTCACCACCTGCAGAGGGTCAGTGAGGGGCTGGTGCTATGAGACTTGGGTGGCATCTCTGACTGCCACCCCCCTGACCCAGAAATGGATTAAAGGGTAGAAAATGGATGGATGGATGGATGTTTATCATGACAATAATGCTGTCGCGATTATAACTGTTCCATATGTCTCCTTAATATTGACACTAACAGCTTCACTTTTCATTGTGACAGTAAACGCAGTCAAATATCAATGTGTTTTTTTTTTAGCTACAGGCCTGATTACTGCGCAGGTCTTATAAAGCCGATGCAACGGACCATATGCCCGTACTTTGCCGTTACCAGATTTCTTCCAGAGCCCCCCGTAGTCTGAAGTGTCACCACGCAGCTTATTTTGGACTCACAGTATGTTCGATCCGCTTTCCCTTTTACAAATTTGGCACCGCTTTCCCATCCTGCGTCTCCTCCTGCCAATAACCACTCTTCAAGTTTTATTTTTGACATTTCCTCTACATGAACATATTCACTGTGCTAAAATTGAAGATCTCGTCAGGCGTACAATGACTTGAATTCAGACTATGAGATTATTGTAGAAGTACTTAGTGAAAGTTTTGTTGACATTATGGCGTGTAATACAAAAATGTAGAATAAATAAATGTAGAACAATACGGTGAAAAAGTTGAAGTCGCATATGACTTGATTCGAGGATGATTCTCTTGATTTAAATCATTTTGGGCTAGTCTATTTCTGCTCTGCTAAGATTACTATATTAAATAAAAACAAAGCTAACATTATGTGACTCTACAACATCATATACGGTATAGACGAGTCATAATAAAATTGGTCATCTGTTTTGTTTATTATATAAATTGTTTTGCATTTGTATTTTTTCAGCAGTAATTAGAGTTCTGTTGGGAGTTATAGGACTTCTTCACAGCAAATAATCGACAAGTTGCGATAAGCTCCGAACTCAAATCAAGTCAAATATTTAAGGTCACATAAGCATGAGTAAGAAAATACCAACAACCAAATCAATAAGCTTAAATCAAGCCGAGACTTGACTAGCGCTGACATTTTAGCTGTATATCCACATCCTTATTTTCACATGCTTCTGTCATTTGAGAAAGTTGCTTTGATTGGAGCCGTGTTGAAGCGTTGGTTAGCAGATGTCTGGTTGCTAGTCCTTCTCAGTTTGGGCACATTCACTCTCGCCCACTGGGGTCTATTTATTCCCTGGTCTCTTTGGGCGTATATGTATGTGTGTGTGTGTGCTTGTGTGCAGTGAGGGACCTTTTCAGCAGCGGGCCACCGTATAATTGCGGACACGCGAGTCCCGCCCGTATGTGGAGCAGATGCCGGCCATGGTGGCAGTTGGAACGCAGCTTTTGCACAGACATGTATCAATAATGGGAATGAACTCTGCACCAATCTGAGCTGTGTTTGAATGAGGAATAGCAACTTTGTCTAATATACTTTGTAGGCTTATTCCATCTCATGCCCTTGTTTAAACTGTTTTCCGTACACACAAACACAGCTTTTAGCAATTTCTATATACGCCTGTGGTTCTTGACCTACTTCATTTGTTTTCTTTTTTAGATATTTTTGTTTTTTTTTACTACAATACACTACACTACAATCTTTTGTGAAGCACAAAACAATTGTTATTTTTCATGCTTTTTTCTAGCTGTAAATTTTACACCAAGTAGTGTTCATGGTTTCACACTGATCCAGACCAGAGCAGAGAAGATGCATGGTCCAAGCTGATCGAGCGTAAATCCACTGGATAATAAAACCTTCGGAATTTCACTCTGATCCAGAGTAGAGAAATGGTCCGAACCAAGCATACTCGGCATACAGTACGTCTCCAGAGGATAGGAAGCATCTCATCACCAGTGGCTATTCCAACTCTGTTGCCTGCCCTTTCTGATGAACATATAAGGTGTTTCCACTTAGGCTTACACTCTCTCAAAGTGAGAAGTGTCGAGCTGCTAAATCAGGCTTCGCTGGAGCAGGACCCTGTCGGCTGTGAGCAGGGTTAAACGCGTCTCCCACACAAATATCGGGAAAAGTCAGAAAAGGCCTCATGTAAAAGGCACAATACAATAGATTGTTTTTTTTTTTTTTTTAACTCACCTGGACTAACATGTGCTTAGTGCATGTGTATTTTCAGTTTGTGTATAGAAAATAGAAAAAAAAAACAAATGATTCTGATAAAGTTCAGCAAATCCTATAGACCTATTTATTTATTTATTTATTTATTTATTGTGGATGGCCCCTTGAGATGAATCATCTCTTTTTCGAGGGGGTCCGGTTATAAAACAAAGTTACATACATGACCACAAAGACAGACAAGACAATAAGCACATACAGTACATAAAGACAGAAAGAAAAAAAAAAAAAATGAAAAAAATTAAATAAAAAATTAAATAAAAATAAAAATAAAAATAATAATAATAATAACAATAACAATAATAACAAATAAATAATAATACAAAATAAATAAATAAATAAATAAAAATAAAAAGATTTATCTATCATTGTAAGTTTAGTTGAGGAGAGAGGATGGATCTGTTCACACAAACAGAACAAGCACTAGATGTGAACAAAAAGGGACTGGGAGGACCACGCTTTATTGCTGCAGTTAGAAATGTGTGTTGGCTTCACTGGATTCTGCCAACACAACTCCATGATGTGGATTACTCTTGCCTGTGAGGAGGTAACAGATGTCACAGAGGTAACTAACCTCCTGAAGGAAATGACAAAATGTCTGTGATCGTGTCACAGCAGAATAAATGTTTTAATTGTTGGTAAAAGACACAATGTTTTGCTGCATGGTTTTGTATCCGAAAGAACAAGGATGCTCTTCTGGCATCTGCCACAGTGCTTCTGCATGCTGTTGTAAGGACAAGTTCAGCTTTAACCATAGTTAAAGGTGTCATAAAAGATCCATAGGCTGTTGGCTGAAAGGATGGCGTTTATCTAGCACTTCATTTTTGTAGACAGACGTCCATCACATCTTTTGTTGCTTGAAAGTTTATGTGTTTGATCAAAGTTGCAGATGAGCATTTTGTGGATTGACTCATTATACGTTTATACAGTGGTTCTCAAACTTTTTACACCAGGGACCCCCTCAGAAAATACTTGCCTCTCCAAGTACCACAAATGACCAACACCACACAGTAGCGTAATAAGCCTAAGTATTCGTCGAAAAAACTTGACAATGGTACTTTCTTGGTTAAATAAAAAAAAAAAAAAAAAAAGTTTGTTTTTTCAAAGCGTACCCCACTTTGAGAACCACTGCGTTAATAAATGTAAAACACTGCTTTCTACAGTTACTGGTCCTAACATGAGCTGTTTGTCCCCAGGTGAGAAGCCCAGTGTGGTGAGAAATGACTACCTGCTGTGCCCAGCTCCCAGCCTCTCCCATGTGGGACAGTGAGTACAAGAGTCTCTAACACCTTTGTAATTATGTAAACAGACATGAGATTGAGGGTGCATTCACCTGGTTCATTTGGGTCAAAACTAGGCTGCGTTTACACGGAGACAATGTGGCAGTAAAACGGTATAGTTGGATGTCGGTTGCTACCAACCGTTCATACGAAGACTGTGTTCCAGGGGGGTGAAAACGTAAGTGTTCAGATCCAGCCTGCAGAGTGGGACAACTCAGAAACGCTGCACAGCGGGGGCTCTCTTTCACACCCACGAGAGGGGAAAGGTGTGAAATCCCCCTCTGCTCTGACCCCCGCCTCCGCGTTGCTCCCCGCACGTAAATTTGGACATGCGCAGTAGCGGAGAACCAACATCAACAACAATGGCGGCGGTCACACTAACTAGCTTCGTGGGCTTCCAGCGCGGGACAGAGGATAATTCTACTCCTTTGTTCGTCCAAACGAGACCACGCGAAGCTCTAGGTTCAGTTTCCATTTTCACAGCTGCTGTTAAAAGGCAGAATGGTGTTGGTGCGTTCTGAGGGTCTGGCACAGGAAGTGAGTACACTGCCAAGAGGGGGGCTGGGCACGGGGCTGGGGGTCGTGTGAGTGTTGTAAAGTTTCTCTGCCCACTACTGGCCGGGCGCTAGAACTACATCGTTTTTCAACCTCATGTGAACGCTGAGAAATTTGCATTAGGAGCCAGGTCGTTTCTGTTAATAGCCTGGAAAAGTCTGCGCAGCGTCTCAGTATAAACAGGGCCCTAGTTTCAGTACGCCTATGAGCTCTGATTGTTTTTGCAAAAACTGTTACATTTTGGCATAGAGGCATTAAAAATGTGTGAAATTTGTAAAACAACTGTAATCTGTAAACCCCACTTTTAATTACAGACAATTAAAAATAATCTGTTTCTCTCCAGAAAAATAAAAAACAAAAAAATATAAGGGCCATGGGACACCCCAAGCTTTGAGTCCCTAATGAATGGTCTTCCATACATTTAATTTACAGGCCTGTTTCAGACCCAGCTTAATCGACTGGCACTTGGAAGCTCGTGGTAATTGGTTTTATTTGATAATATGCACTGCTTGCTACTGCTCCAAGTAACTATTGTTTCTTTACTTTTCTTATGTTATTGCGGACACTTAGAAAAATGGATCCGTTACAGTCATTTTACAGTTTAAATGTACATACAGTATAAAACCATAAAATATTATGGTTATTATTTTGGTTGTAGAAATGACAAATGTAGAGACATTCATCAATGTGTACTCTAGTACACTACCATAAGAGCATTTATTGTAGACAGGAATACCCTCTCGTAAAAAATAAAAAATAAAATAAAAAATCAATCTGCACAGAGGAAGATCAAACTCCACAGTGTTCTTTGGTAAACATAAAGAAGTGTGTAGATGGTGTGTGGTGCTTGGGTTTCAGTCAAATGTACATGAAAATGAGATTTCAAGACAAAATAAACCAAAAAACTCAAGGTAAAGTACATATAAAATTGTTTGTCCTGATTATTCGATTTGATAGATATGACAGCAAATAAGATGGATGCATGTGCTCCAACATACATGTTTCAGTGCAGGATCTATTGTCCGTTCATTGCAGTGGATCTCTCTCTTTCTCGCTGTGGCTCTCTGTTTCCCACTGGGTTTCTAGACTTTGCCAATGCAGGCAAAGGATAAGCGGTTATGCTTTGGGTTCTTATGCCTTTTATTATTGTGTTTCTTTGTGTTCCAAAAGTTTGATTTTCTAATCTATTGTTTCTGAAGTATTTGTGACGTCCTTTGAGAGAATTGATGTTGTAAATTTGGGTAACACAATAAGAAATAATATTTATTTTGTATGTATTTTATCACGTGATAAAAACATTATAAAAATAGTATTGTAACATGTCAAACACATATTTTTAGATTATTTTGCTTCATCCAACCCCTTTTCTAACATGTATTAGTGTAAAGATATGCAAAATTGTGTTCTGCAGGTTTTAAATAGATTTTTAACTAACTAACAAACATATTTTAGATACAGACTCTGCCGCAAATGACTCCAGAGTTACAACAAATTTATTTATTATGTGAAATTTCCCCAGCTTCATTACTCTGGAAGATTTCTCTGACAATATCCTTAATCGTTACTGTAATGGGCCAACAGATATATAATTGATGGCTTCCTGAAGTCACATTATAAATTCAAGTGGAGACATGTGTTGACATCTCCAGCTCTTTTAATCCCAGAGCACAACAGATGAAGGTTAAGACCGTTCTGACGCACAGCAGATTTCACCATCCCGCTCCAATCCAATCAAAAATGTATGAATTTAGACCCCAGCCAGCACCCGTAAAGAGATTTCACATGGAGCACCTCCGGGATAATCCTCTCCATCAACAAGCACGCCATTCACTTTGTGGGAAGTATGTTCAAAACAGGCTGTGATTGATTTAAGAGTGAGCTGTTGGTGTAAGTGCTGTTTTTATGAGCGATAAAAGATCGGTTGGTGGTTAGTTCTTGTTTTTATGAATGTATTTCTCGAGGCTGGAGATGTTAAAAATAAGTTTAAATGGATTGTTCTATAATAACTCTTGCCTGTGAGTCATTGTTAGGGTAAAATTCGTTTTTTTTTAATATACGGATAGGTTTTAAAGACTGTAAATTAGGGCTGGGCAATAAAACGATAACGATATATATCACAATAGACATGTGTTCGATATCAAAGGAAAATGGACAGCCGTACTGTAAATGCTACAATATCATAGGTCAGTCTAGTCATTGGGTTAGCTGGTCACTAGATGGAAAACTGTATAACGATACTGTATAAACAAATTCCCACAAGAACTGTAAAGCGCAAAGAAAAAGGTGTGAATTCTCTGCTGCTATGACCCCCACTTCCCCGCACTTACATTTGGACATGCGCAGTAGCCGAGAAAAAACGTAAACAACAATGGCGGCGGGTCAACTATTGCTACATATGCTTCTAGCGCTACACGGAGGAGAATTTTACTTCTTCGTCCGTCCAAATGAAACCATGCAGTTTCCATTTCTGCAGCTGCTGTTAAATGCAGAATGAAGTTGGTGCATTATTTTACGTCTTTGCATTGGCCTGAGGAGGATGTTGTTGAGGAAGTGGTTAACTGTTGGGGGCTTGGGGTCGTGTGTGTTGTGTTGTATAGTTTTGCTGCTCACTACTGGCCGGGCGCTAGAACTACATTGTTTTTCGCCGTCGTCTAAACGCTGCGCAGGAGCCTGGTCGTTTTTGCTCATTGCTTTGCAGCGTCTCCTTCTAAATGGGGCCGATCTATATTATGACGTTCACATACATGCTTGGCCCAAAATTCCTTCCTCAAAAAGTATTTGAGTTTATTTTTCAACTTTAAAATGGGAATGTCTAAAATGGTGCTCCAATTTTAAACAATTGTAATCTTGTATTTATGTATTTATTTACGTCTGTCGTCATGAAGTCATTTGAACGTCTGGTTCTCTCCCATCTCAAGTCCCTCACCTCCCCCCTCCTGGACCCCCTGCAGTTCGCCTACAGAGCCAACAGATCTGTAGACGACGCCATTAACCTGGCCCTCCACCACATCCTACAGCACCTGGACTCCCCGGGGACCTACGCCAGGGTCCTGTTCGTGGACTTCAGCTCTGCCTTCAACACAATCCTGCCATCCCTGCTCCAGGACAAGCTCTCCCAGCTCAACGTGCCCGATTCCACCTGCAGGTGGATCACTGACTTCCTGACGGACAGGAAGCAGCGAGTGCGTCTGGGGAAGAATGTCTCGGACTCTCGGATTATAAATACAGGAGCCCCACAGGGCTGTGTTCTTTCTCCCCTGCTCTTCTCCCTGTACACCAACCACTGCACCTCCAGCCACGACTCCGTGAAGCTGATCAAGTTCGCGGACAACACCACCCTCATTGGACTCATCTCCAACAACGATGAGTCCGCCTACAGGAGGGAGGTGGACCGGCTGGTGTCCTGGTGCAGTGGTAACAACCTGGAGCTGAACGCCCAGAAGACAGTGGAGATGATTGTGGACTTCAGGAAGAGCACTGTCCCCCCACCCCCACCCTCCGTGATGGACTCCCCCATCACCTCTGTGGAGTCCTTCCGTTTCCTGGGCACCACCATCACCCAGGACCTCAAGTGGGAGCCAACCATCAGCTCCCTCATCAAGAAGGCCCAGCAGAGGATGTACTTCCTGCGGCAGCTCAGGAAAGCCAAGCTGCCTGCACAGATGTTGGTGCAGTTCTACACGGCCATCATCGAGTCCATCCTCACCTCCTCCATCACCGTGTGGTTCGCTGGAGCCACAGTCAGGGACAAACAGAGACTACAGCGCATTGTGCGCTCTGCAGAGGAAGTGATCGGCCGCAGCCTTCCATCGCTGCAGGACCTGTACGTCGCCCGAGCTCGAGGCCGGGCTGGTCGTATCACAGCCGACCCCTCTCACCCTGCACATGGACTATTCCAACCACTCCCCTCAGGCAGGAGGCTGCGGTCCATCAGGACTAGAACCTCCCGCCACAAGAACAGTTTCTTCCCCTCTGCTGTTGGACTCTTGAACACTTCTTAACCTGTCCCCCCGCCCTTTATAAAGTCACTTTACTGCCCATCATACGTCACTTTACTTCACTGTACTGCTGTCACCTTACATTGTGTGCACCATGTGCACTTGTATATTGTAAATAGTAACTGTAACTCTATTTTAAATTTAAATTTATTCTTTAGAAGTGTTTTTTATTCTTATTTTTATTATCTCTTTTTGACTGTTGCACTGAGCCAAAGCAATTTCCTAGTCTGTGACCTCCTGTTACTTACGTGGCAATAAAAATGATTCTGATTCTGATTCTGATAAAGCCGTTCTGGATCAATATTACTACATTTAGTGAACAAATTGTATACTAATATTCTCTACGTTATAGAGACTCCCCATGACGGAGAACGTCTCCTTGAATCTTTGAACTTGTTAGACCTTAGTCCTCTGTGGTCGGTCACTTGTTCCC